TCAAACAGCTCCTCCCTCTGGGCAGGGGGTGTGGGAGGAGAGGCCAGAGGTCAGAGGGTAAAGGTCAGCTTTGTTCCTGCCGGAGGTGGTGAGGAACCCGGGGGAGACAAACTGGGGGAGGGGAGAGCCCTTGACAGCCAAACCACGTGTATGAATCCTTGTGTCTGCATGTCTCCCCCGCTTGCGTGGAGGATACATTTCTGAGTCTTCAGTTTCTGCTCATGGACCTGAGTTCTGTGTCTGAGTGGAGGTCCACGGGGTGGGATCCACCAGCATTCCCGTAGGTGCCATCCTGTGTACCGATATATCTGGTTCCTGGGCCTGGTAGGTTATGTGAATGTGACCTGGCGTGGTCTTTGTGTCTAAGAGGAGTGCCCCTCGCCATCTCATCCTCTCTCATCCTTCCTCCACATTGGTCATCTGAGGCTTCCTCCTGAAAATGAACTTGACCTTATTCAAAACTCCCCTAGTCAAACCCTTCAGTGACTATCCTTGTCCAGTGGTTAGTCACAGCCAGCATGCATGAACAACCAAGGCCACACTTACCTCATCACTTCATTTGCCATTTAATCCTACCCCTAAAATTTTATACTCTCAGCACATCTAACCAATTGTAACAGCCCTATATCCTGTCTCTGAGTTTTATTCACTTAATACTGCTTTTCTAATCTCCTTATCTTGCTTCTTTACCAGGTCAACTTAAAAAAAAAAAAAAAAGAAATCTCAGGCATGGCATCACCTGCTCTGAGAAGTCTTCCTGACTTCCGCCTGACCACCTGATTAGAACCCTCCGCTACTTTCCCACACCCCTCGTATTTCCAGTTTCTGCTTTTGTTTATCTTCTTCGTCCCCTACTTTGACTAGACTATGTGCTTTCTTATGGTAGTAATAGTGCAGGTTCTAGCATCCTGTTGTGGGAGAATTTTGGTGGCACCAGGCTCAGATCTTTCTGTAGTTTTCTGATATTTGGCTGTGGTACCCGCTGTGGCCACTAGAGGGAATATGGACATCACTGCAGGACCTCCGGGATAGGGTTAGTTGATTATGGACCGGAGTAAGGGGATCCAGTACTTGGGAGTGCATAGTGTGTCCACCCAGCTCAGTGCTGGAACGCTGAAATTCCAGGACAGACACTTCGAGGGGATCTTGGATCCCCAGATTTCCTCCACAACTCAGGAGTCATACTCCTTGATTTCCCCCCAATCTTCTCTTTCCTCTTGTCCCTTTTCTTCTTTCCAATCCTCTAACCTACTAAGCTTCACCTTGCTTGAAAGGATTAAGCTCTAACGTACCTCTGGGTCTTTGCACATCCCCTTAGTGGGGATCCTTCACCAGCTGGTTGGTTCATCACACGTATTTTTCTTTTATATCCTCAGACTGCCCCTAAATGTTGTAACTGTTTGCTGTTCTGCCTCCTGGGCATGACTGGCCTACAGGAGACATTGGTAAATGTGTATGGAATAAATGACCGAGTTCTTTTGTAAGTCCAGTCCTCAACATCTGCAAGACTACCCTCACTCTCCGCCCACACTTTCCCTGAGCCTGACTTGGTTAATACAAAATTTTCCTATATTTCTTCATTAGATAGAGGACGCGACTGTGTGATGCTTGAGACTTTGAAGTGAGATTGACCTCGGTTCAAATCCTGCTCTGCCATCCAGCTGTATGACCTTGGGCAAGTGTGAGGGCCTCTTGGAGTCTTCATTTCCTCTTCTGTAAGGAGGGAATGATCTCACTTGTGCATGACCTCTGGTGAGGAGCACATTAGATGCTGCATGTGAAACACCGAGCCGAGAGCTAAACAATTAAGCCTCCTCCTCCTCCACCATGAACTTGGAAATAAAATTGCCCTCTGAGTTTCAAGCCAGTAAAATACATGCATCACGGAAGGAGAAGAGCCAGGTGGGGGAGTGAATGAGGCGAGAGATGGTTTTGTAAACGAGTGACTGAAGAGTTTTGTGAACAGTGCAAACCGCAATCAAGGTGACCCGCCTGTAATCTCAGGGAGGCAAGGCGAGGATGTGATTGAAATTGAGAAAGCAGAGCCTAATCAATTGCATTGTGCTCTATCGGAAGGGAACAGAAGGATGCACAAAAAAAGGTGTGAGAGAGAATTCATCCAGCTGTACCCAATGAGAAGAAGGGGAACCAGCAGACAAAGGGATTCTAGGTCCAAGAGGCACTGGCCTCTCCTGCAGACCAGTGAGGGGGTCAGGTGAACCCCAGATGGCTCACTGCCCTGCTGGGCTAATGGATGATCTGTAGGGCAGACAAGAAAATTCAGCCCTAGGAAAAGGGCACAGGGACTAAGAGCATTGGTGTTGGAGTCAAAGAGACCTGGTTCCTGTTACCTTGGAAAAGCGAACTGCCTCATCAGTAAACTGGGGATATAAAAACCTTTTCTCCTAGGAGTCTGTAAAGACTAAATACATGCACTTAGAAGGGTTCTGCCTGACACAAGGTAAATGATTGGTAAACGGTAGTTTACCGAAAGACAGCTAACATTTATTGAGCCTTTTCTTGCCATTTTGCAGGTAAGCAAATTGAGACTCAAAAGATTGATGGTTTGCGCAAAATCACACAGTTAGGGAGTAGTGGAAGCAGACTATGTAGAATGCATGCTGGGTGGTATTTTTGTGCTCTGATCTACTTAATTCATGGTAGGTAAAAATACTGGCCTCTGCTTTGTACATTAAGTTCTTGAGTTTGTTTGACCAGAAACTACTTATCTGGGGTCTGATCCTTGACCCCTGAAAGCTTGGGTCGGCAGATCTGAGGATCCTACCCTTAAGACAGCCAGCCAGTTGGCCTCTCTCCATTTTCTTGCTCCTTTATTGGCTCCTGTATTTCTTGCTCCATTTTCTTACATCTGTATTGGCTACCTTGTCTCTACTTCCTTGAAGGCACTCAACTTGGGGCAATTTCCAGAACACTTTCTGTGTGATTTACTGCCTCTGAAGGCCTGCCAGAGGGTCAGCTATGAGTCAATTCTGACTTGATGGCACAAGCAACTTTCTACAGGAGGAAGACCACCTCCTGTTCAGAGATCATCTCCTCCCAAAGCTTTGAGTTTGGGAAATCTGGTGAGAACACAGACCCTGGTGTGAGAACTGGGTTCAAATCCTGGTTCTGCCAACAAACAGCTGTGTGATTTTGATTTGTCATATGGCCCCTGAGCTTCAATTTCCCCATCTGTAAGTCGGGGCTGATCATAGAACCAAGGCTTTGGACTGGATTACAGGACAAGATGGATATAACATATCAAGCATTTCAGCAGACATTTAAGAAATAAGTTATTACTATAATTCCTCCACAGCAAGGACAGTCTTGATCATGTTTGTGTTCCCAGGTTTCTGCCTACCAAAGGATCCCCACAAAGGTAAGACCTAGTAATTACTTGCCAATTAGTAATTCTCAGGACCTCAGATTCCTTTGCCCATGCCCTTTCTGACTGATCCAGACAGCCAACACACATTTTCTGAGAACTGTATTCCCTGGGAGAACCTGCTTCCTCAGGGAGCTCTGCGGGCCTAGGGGTAAGAAGCTGTGCTGCAATCCAAGGGCACCCTGTTTGAATCCACCTTCCATTCCACAGGCAAAGGACAAGAAATCTCTTGTACAGTTACTGTCTCTGAAAACCCACTGTTGGGTCAGCTATGAATCGGTTCTGGCTGGTTAGTAATGTTGTATACCATAGAGGTGAATTTTGTGTTTGTTTATTTGAGTTTTGTTTTCCTGTGGAGCTGCTAGAGTTTCTCACAGGGGGCACTATGGGATAGAACAAGTCTTCACTGCTCAAGCACATTCATTATAAAGGTTTTGCAACCCTGGTCACTGCCCATGTAAAGCCAGTAGCAGCTGCCAGTGGTTGACAAACAAAATTGTCACTATTCTTCAAAGGCCCCAGAGGAGACAGCTGTCCTGAGTGAGATCCACTGAGCTGGACTAGACTTCAGAACCCCTTGCTTTCCTCTTACTCTTCTCTGCTCACTGTGGTCTTCTCTCCTGCGCTTGCTGGGGGGAGGCCTAGGAGTGTCCTAGTGCGCATATGATAGGTGGTATGTTGTCGTTGTTGTCATGTGCCATTGAGTTGCCTGTGACTCATAACCTATGTACAACAGCCCTAAACCTTGTTCTATCCTTAGCTGCTTAAATTAAGAGAAGACTTAGCGAACTCTATGCACAAATAAAACAACACATCAACAGTGAAAGAAACATTTTGATCTCTAGTTGTCTGTCTTCTGCATCCATCTATCAACTGATTCTAAACACACATGAGAACAAATAGTATGACTTTTGAATCTTCTAAAATTTTACACCTTGAATGTTCTGTACTTTGTAGGTCCACAGGTCACTGTCTCACCTCCCCTTCCTCCCAGAATCAAACCATCCCCACTCACCTCCCACTATCTCTCAAAGAGCAGTTTCAGGAAAATTTCAGGGTTTAAAGATTCATATTGTCATTTTTCATTATTTACAAAATCAGTAAACATACACATGATCAGAAGTGGGTGAACCATCAGCTCTCTCCCTCAACTGTGGGCTGGCATCCCAGCCTTAGACCATCCAGTGGGAAGGAGCTCAGTAAAGGCTTTCTTACTCTTTATAATTTTCAGCCACAAGAACAATGCAAGCAGGGGACAAATTCTGGGAGCCTATACCAGGGTGAGATGACGGGAGGTTAGGAGAGGAGGGAGAGGCAATAAGGAAGGAAAGGTAAATAGAGAATCTTATAAATTACTAGACAGGATCTGAGCATTTTAGGGGGAGTCTAGGGGCTGGAAAAAAACCTACATGGTAAGGGACAATGTCTGGAACTAGAGTGAATGAAGGACGCATCTGAGCCTTGATTTGGCCCATCTATAAAATGAGCAGACTGTCATATCTGCTCTCCTGTTCTAGGATCCTAGGATCCTAAAGCTGGGGCCTTTAGGACCAGAGTCCTGGAGATTGAAAAGGGCTGGTGGGCACCCTAGAAAGGTGGCTGATATTGAAACAGGCTATGTCTGATCTCCAGGCTGGTACTGGGGTTCTGTGGAGGTGAAGTAGTCCTCCAGGAAGGACTGCAGGTACTCAAAGGTAGGTCTCTCCTCGGGGTCCAGACGCCAGGTCTGCTCCATGGCCTCATACAGGGACACTGGGCAGCCGTGAGGGCATGGCATGTGGTAGCCATGCTCCACTTGTTCCAGTACTTCCCGGTTATTCATGCCTGCAGAGTAGGGCTCTGTTAGTCAAGTAGTCCCCACAAAGGAATAACCAAGAGGGAGCCCTTCCTCAAGTCCCGCTCCCTTTTCCCAGCAAACCTGGGTAGGGTACTCGGCCCTTGCTGATGAGTTCAGTGAGCAGGATCCCAAAGGACCACACGTCTGACTTGATGGTGAATCTGCCATACAGGGCAGCCTCTGGGGCTGTCCACTTGATGGGGAACTTGGCCCCTGGAGAGATTAGGGAAGAAAGGAAATGTAGTGAGGGGATGTTTGTGGAAAGCTGGATTAAGAGAATGGAATTCTTAGGACTAGAGGTTTTGGAGGCCCTGAGCACAAGGCTCTGTAGGCACAACAGAAGGGACCTGGTGTCTGGCCAGCACCTACTTCATGCCTAGTGTGGTGCTGGTCTTCACCCACATTGCAGTGACTCTTTTAAGAATAACAGCTAACATGTGTACAGCCTTTACTATATGCTAGGCACTATTTTTAATGTTTTATGTGCATTAACTTATTTAATGCAAACAAAAGCCTCATGAGGTAGGTATTATTGTACTTTTCATTGCAGGACTGAGAAAAAGGTGACCCTGATCATACAGCTAAGTGGCTGGGCTTCACACTCAGGCACTCTGACTACTGAGTCTGGGCTCTTAACCATTAGACTCTCTAATCTCTTATGAAAGAAAGCATTACAGTGATGCCTGGCATATAGTAGGGGCTTAGGATAAACATCTGTGACCGACTGGAGGCTCAATATGTTCCTTTTACAGATGAGAAAAGGCATCTCACAGAGATCAGGAAATTTGCCCAAGGCTATCTATCAGACTAATGAGTGGCTGAATTGATTGAGATTTGAACCCAGGCTTGCCTGTTATGTTACAATATCAGGATGTGGGTATCTGGGATGGTCTGAGTTGACTGAGATTTGAACCCAGGCTTGCCTCTCATGTTACAATATCAGGATGTGGGTATGTGGGATGGTCTGGGGTAGAGAAGGATTTCTGAGTATGTAGAGCCCCAAAACAGCCTGTTGATGCCCTGGGGAGCTCTCAGGAATTGGGGTGAGGTAAAGCACCTTGCCGGGGGTTGTACTCATCATCCTCGATGAGGCGGGCCAGCCCAAAGTCAGCAATCTTGCACACCAGACGCTCCCCAACCAGGATGTTGGCTGCCCTCAAGTCCCGGTGGATATAGTTCATGCGTTCCATGTAGGCCATGCCCTCTGCTATCTAGGAAGCCAAGGCATAAAGACTTGAAGCCCATGTGGGTTCACTGCAGATGGCTTCCTGGGGCCATTTGGGAAATCCACTTTCCAGATGGAAAGACTGAGGCTCTGGGAAAAGCAGTGCCTTGCCTGAGATCCCACAACCCAGATCAGTAGACTCACCCACATTTCCAGGTAAAGGCTGGGTGGGTGTTTGAGGGCACAGAAATTTTAAGGAAGGTAAAAAGAAATTTAATAGGAAAGAGATTTGAGAGCTAACAGGAGCCATGATAATACTGTGAACCCACAAGCAGTTTCTGGAGTAAGATGTGGCTGTTTCCATTAAGGTTTAAAACCTGGAAAACCTTAGAGGGCAGTTCTAATCTACCCTATAGGGTCACTGAGCCAGAATCCACTCCAAATCAAGGGGTTGGTTTTTGTTTTTGAGAGATAAAGGTTACTGTCGCTGTTTACCTGGGCTGCCATGTCCACCAGGTGTGGCAGCTTCAAATTCTGGCCTTCCTGGTCCTTGAGGAATTCCAGCAAGCTACCTGGGAAAGAGGAACTCAGGCCATCAGCAGAAAGACTGCACAGCCCCTTGCTTAGCTCCTCCCCTCCTCATTCAGCTGAGTCCCGTCCCTTGCTTCTAGCCCAACCACCTAAATCTGCCTACCACCTCCACTTCTAGACACCTCACCTCTCCTGCCTTCTCTCTTCTAGGTGTCCCTGGGGCCGCCTCATTCAAAAGCCGCCGCCACAGCCCCAGAGCCTTTTCACAGCCTAAGCCCCGCCCAGCCAGCGTCAGCCCCGCCCCCGCCCAGGCTCCGCCTCATCTGTCTTGGAGCCGCCCCAGCGCCCGGCCCTCGCATTGTTTCACTTACTCTGCACCCTCAACAGGTTCAGCGGGTTGTCCCTCGTCCCGTTACAGATCGAGACTCCCCCCTTCAAGAAACACCCACTTTGACTTTGTTCCCCGCCCCTCACCGTAGCACATGAACTCGGTGACGATGTAGATGGGCTCCTCTGACACCACCGCGTACAGCTGCACCAGCTTGTCGTGCCGCAGTAGCTTCATGATCTGCGCCTCCTCCAGGAAGGCCTTCGGGGACATGGTGCCGGGCTTCAGAGTCTTCACTGCCACTTTAGTGCTGCCATTCCACGTGCCTGCCGGCCGGGCAGGTAAAGAGTCAGGATGTGCTGCCCTCCAGCTCTGGCCCTAGTTCCCAACCCTGAGACCTCCATACGTACCCAACCACACATCCCCAAAGCATCCGGTACCCAGCCGGCGCTCGAGAGCAATGGAGCTGCGGCTGATTTCCCAGGCGTCCTTGGCCAAGCCCAGTGTCTGGGGCTTCATGGTGGTACAGGCCGCTGTGAGCAGGTGACACAGTCCATCGTTCACTTCTAAGGGCAGAAAGGAAGAAGTCACAGGTGAGTCAGGAAGTCCATGTACTCATCATACCCCAATTCTCTGCAAGACCCCAAGACTGGTTATTAGGAACCAGGCTCCAAATGGACTTACAGCCAGAGCAAAAGGCAGGCTGGGCACAGTTAATGAACGTGACAATTGGTGCCCAAGGGAAGGGGTGGCATCAAAAGAAAGATATGATTCCTCTAAGGAATGGGGACCCCCTCAGCTGGGCCTGGAAGGATGAGGTGGGATTCTGGTGGTGGAAATAAGGGTGAGGCTTCCAGGCAAAGATGCTGGCATGTGGCCTCACCCTGTCATGAATTTTATTCTTGCCCTAACTAATGTAGTCAGAAACCTGGGCACTGACCTTCTCCATAGACTCATAACCAATCATCTGGCAAGTCAGGCCTTTTCTGCCTCCTATTCAGCTTGGGAATTGTCAATTTCTTTCACTCCACTTCTCTGCTTTAGTCGGGCCACCCTCACCTGGCTGGTGCTTACCGGTACCTAATGACTGTCATCCTGCCTTGCATCCTGGCAGCCAAGCATCCCACAACAACCAGAGTTTCTCACCAAAGTGCAGGTGAACCTTTGTAACCACTCGCTCAGGGCCCTGTGATGGTGGCTCCCTGCCTGTACTGGGGCCTTTGGTGGGGCTTTCAAAGCTGGCATGGTCTTGCCTTGCACACCTCTTTCCATCTGGACATTGGTGCTCCTCTTTTCTGCTTTAGCACAGCATTTATTATAGACACCACGATTTAAGATCTGGGTGATTTGAATGAGATGCTCTCAGCCTTTCTGTACCTCAGATGAGGTTGCAGGGAAGATGGATATTACACACAATGAATTTAGAATAAAGGCTGACACATAAAAAGTCCTCAGCGTGGATTTTCATTCTCATTGTTGTTTGTGTCTGTCTGTTACCCTGACCAGACTATGAGCTCCTTGAGGGCAGGGTCATTTTGGAGCTGCACCTGTAGCATAAATTCTCAGCAAAGATTTGGGCCTTGAGACAAAGAAACAAACAAACAAACACAAACCCCAACCAAAACCCAAACCAACCCAGGTCAATTCCCAGCTCAAATGTTAGAGGGCGTGCTACTTGGCTATGGATGCCTCCGTTTTCTTGAGAAGCCACAGAACAGGCTCCTGGACACCTGGGTTTAAGTCTGTCCTGGCTGCTACTTTGAGAAACTGTTCCCTTCTCTGGACTTCAGTCTTCCCATATGGCCACGCATCAGTGGATTAGTTCGGGAGTTTGAAGTGTCACCAGTCCCCAGGGCCCTTCCTCACCAACATAGTGCTGCACCAGCTCCTGTACTGTGTCGAATTGGGCCCGCGTGGTTATGTAGTAGCCGCCAGTGTCCAGCTTGCGGATCTTGTAATGCTTTATGTGGTCGCCTTTGTTCTCATCCCAGTCTCGGATGGACAGGGAGTAGGCGCCTGTGGGAAAGGGGCACCTTCAGGTTTGCTTCCCACTCCTCCCATCTGGGAACCAAGAGAGGCTCCAAAGGCTATGGATTCTAAAAACCGCATATCTCATTCCCAGCATTGGCTCCGCCCCTGAGACCAGCTCCAGACCCAAGTCCATGCAGCCCTGTCTCACCCTATTAAGCACATGGCCCTGTGCTTCCCCCACCTTTGGTGGTCTCACTCTCCCGAATGAGAAAGGCCCCCCGAGGATTGCCTGAAGAAAGCAGCTGTCTCTCTGCATCCTTCCGCCCAATCTTTCCGAAGTACCACCTGTGGAAAAGGGTACATCCCATTCAAACTCCAATTCAGCTTCTCTGGGCAAAATTACTTCACAAACCAAGCCTCAATTTCCTTAACTGAAAGTAAGGAAAATGGGGTTTCTTAATCCTACTTCACCACTTGTGGTCAGTTTCACAGAGATGGCATGCAGTAAAAACAAAAACCAGATGCACTGCCTTCAAGTCAGCGCATGATTTTGTCTCCTAGTTCCAAATCCCAGTTCCCATTATTGGGATCATCCAGTTTCTGAGGCTACAAGTCTTTACGAGAAGAGACTGCTCATTTCTCTGTGGCAGAGCAACTGGTGGTTTCAACCTGCCAATCTTCTCTTCTATGTAGGCTTCTTTTGTTTTGAAATTGCTAGAACTTCAATCACTAATATACTAATTAATAACTTTATCAGAATGCTACCCATTCCTTTGTCCAGCTAACTTCAGTCCTATGTACCCATTTTAAAGATGAGTAACTTGAGATTCAGAGAGAAAAAATGAATTGTCCATAAGGCAGGCTGCTGGGCTGTACATCCTTTGTCACCCACGCTAGTATTTCTCTTGTCTCCCCTGGACAATTATTCAGGTAGAAGCCCAGCCTCCTTTTCTATCTCCTAAACAACACTTCTTCCCCTCTGACCTGCCTGCTGCTGCCTGGCTCTGCCCAGCTCTGGCGGTTGCTCCTCTGCCCCTCTTTATTTTGGGTTTACTCTACATCTCAGCTTCACCCTCAGGCCTAACTCCTCCTGCTCTCTTGGGATTTTTTTCTGGGATTGGGTTATAGTTCTAAACTAACTGAGTAAGTACAGTGTGGATGATGAAGTAACTATAGACATCACAGACAATTCAGATGGCACTTAGTCACTAAATGGGTCCATGATCATTCTTTTTTTTTAAAAAAAATAAAAAAGTATTACTCTGATTTAGTTATAAAGTTTGGTAGTAACCAAAACAGCATGGTACTGGTACAATGAGACACATAGTTCAGTGGAACAGAACTGAGAACCCAGAAATAGATCCAGCTATCAATGGTCAACTGATATTCGATAAGGAAATAAAACCTATCAAATGGGGAAATGACAACCTCTTCAACAAATGGTGCTGACAAAACTGGACTGCTACCTGCAGAATGATGAAACAGGATCCACATCTCACACCAAAGACAAAACTCAACTCAAGGTGGATAAGAGACTTGGACAGTAAAGTCCAAAACCATAGAGTTCATAAGAGACAAACTGGGATCAAACTTGGCAGCTCTAGTCTACAGTATAAAGAGACTGCCAAATACAGCCAGAAATGTATAATGTAAAGAGGATAAAATTGATGAATGGGACCTTCTAAAGATTAAAGTCCTGTGTTCATAAAATACATTTTCCAATATGATCATTCTTGAATTGAATTAAAAGGACTATGATTCCCAAATTAAGGAAGGTGGCAGTCTCTGTGAACTCAGGAATGGTCAGTCCACACCTACGGTACCGGACAGTTTGGGGAGTAGGGGAGGTATTGGGAATGAGCATTAAGAGCAGATAAGATGTGGAAGCTGTTTAAGGGCTGTGTAGACAGGACCAAGTATTATTTTAAATCTACCAGCCCTGCTCTTACCCATATCATGATGCAAGCTACTTGTTTAATAACTAATACCAGCAACACTTATTTTATATCAGGCTTTTCTCTAATATATACATTTAATAATTTAATTATAATTTATTATAATATTATTTTTATTATTAAATGGTGGAAGTTTCTATTATTACCCTTTGTAGGAAAAACAATCAAACAGAATCATTGCCACTGACTTGAATGCGACTCACAGTGACCCTATAAGACAGAGTGGAACTGCCCTGTCAGGTTTCCAATCAGTAAATCTTTACAAAAGGATATCTTTCTCTCAAGGAGCAGCTGGTTGATTCAAACTACTGACCTTCTGGTTAGCAGCAGAGTGTACCACCAGGGTCCTTCCTTCCATTAGACAGATGAGGACATTGAGATACCTAGTAGTTAAGCAAAGTGCCCAAGGCCACACCGCTCTTGAGATATGTTGCCAGAATAGGAACCCCAGCTGCCTATTTTAGGGCCAGTGCTCTTAACCACAATACTTCACTGTGTGTCTCTCAGAGCTTTGTGACCTTGCCCCCAAGAGGCAGACACAACCTTGAACCCCCAGAAACCATTTGCCTACTTCATCACCATCCCTCCTCTCTTCTCTGCCTCCTACTACTCTCCGCAGGCTAAGGCATTTCCCTTCTCTAGCTCTGGATCCTGTCTACTTCCCTCTGCTCAGGGACCCACACTCAGAGTCCACATCTGTAGCCTCTCCATTCCACCAACTTCTGAAGGAAACTGGCTTAAGTCCTATCTTGCCATCAACAGTCTGCTACATCTCACACCTTCCCTCTATTTGAAAAAGTGTCCACACTTAGCTCTCCACTTCCTCACCTCCCACTGAGCATGAAGGCATCTCTCACAAGGCCACCCCATTGCCAAATCCAGTGGCCAGAAGCATTGGACACTCCCTCCCTTGTTTCTTGAAATTTCCCCTCCACTGTCTTGGCTGTTCTGACTCAGTCTCATTTGATTCTCCTTCTCTTTTTCCATCAAGGGCAGCATTCTCCAAAGTTAGGTCCTGGGGCCAATCTTTTTCACATTCTCCTCCCTCTTCCTTCACCTTCCTATGAAGCTTTTTTTTTCCCCCTAAGGTAAAAAGTAAAGATAGATTTATTAGAAAGTTATATCCCAAAGGGATAGATCTTCTTCCTTGAAAGGAAATATGGAGGACAGGCCCCTATGTAGCTTTAAGGACCATCTCTTGATGAGTCCCAGATTTCCAGCTGCCCTTATGGAGTAAGCACATGAAGTCTTAGTGGTAAGAAAAGATGCCCCTTCTGGGCTAATTCAAGGGTATAGGTTGCCATGGGCTGGGCACCCCTTGACAAAGCACAAACTACTTTAGTCATTGTTGTCTTCCTCCATGTGAATGTTCCTACCTATGAACCTCAGCCCCATAAGCCCCTACTCCTGCCAGAATTATTTGTCCTCAAACCTGTACCTGCTCTTTGTTCTCTACATAAGCAAATAGCACCGTCATCCCATCACTTAAAAAGACTTTGAACCCTAAAGAAACCATAATCGCCACCCAAGCAGATATATGCACTCCAATGTTTATTGCAGCTTTGTTCACAATAGCAAACAGTTGGAAACAACCCAAGGGCCCATCAACAAATGAATGGATAGAGAAGCTCTGGTATAGTCACACTATGGAATACTATGCAGCATTGAAAAGCAAGAAACTCATGAGATATTATACAAAATGGGTGACCCTGGAGGACTTTATGCTGAGTAAAATATCTCAGTCACAAAAGAACAAATATTGTATAGGGCCAATGTTATAAAATGAGACTGACATCAAGGTTGAGGGAAGACTGAGAAAGAGGGAGTAAATAATGTATACTGCATTGAAACACATGAGGGAGAGAACTGTTTAAAAGGGATATGTGATTATTTATTATTGTCATGACAAGAGTCCAGAATGAAGGCTGCATGGTAGTGTGGACTTTGGAGGAGGGATCGTATAATAATGAAAGAATTATTCTTTTAATTTTCAAAGAGAAGAGCAAATCGGGGGGAGGGGGTGGGTAGGGAGAAAAGTGCAAGAATGAATGAATGGAAACCCTAAGTCTTTGTAAACTTTCATCAAAATTAATAAAAAAAAGTCTTTGAGTATACTGAGTCACCCTGATTCTCCCCACACTCACCACAGTCACTAAGTCCTTGTGCACTTTGCAAAATATCTTCAATCCTATCTATCCCCCAAGTTACATATATATGAAAATAAAAAGCTTTTAAGTCCAGTTTCCACATCCATAAAATAGAACAACCGTAATATAAATGACATTATTTTAAGAATTAAATGAATTCATGTAGGTAAAGTATACATTGTGGTATCTCACATATATGAAAGTGTTCCACTAGTGGTAATTCCCTTCCTCTTTAATAGAATTAAATTCTAAGTAATGCTTCTTTCCATTTGTTTAGCACTTTGCAATTTTTTTTATTTTTTATTTTTTTTTAAATTTTTTATTATTTTTGTGTGCGTGTACCGTCAAATCAGATCTGACTGGTACAGGAGGAGATTGCCCCTCCTTCCCCGGCAGAGCATCTGGTGGATTCGAACCGTGCACCTCTGGGATTGTAGTTATTTTTTATTTTTTTAAATTTTATTATTTGTGTGTGTGTGTGTGTGTGTGTACTGTCAAATCAGATCTGACTGGTACAGGAGGAGATTGTCCCTCCTTCCCCAGCAGAGCATCTGGTGGATTTGAACCGTTCACCTCTGGGATTGTAGTTGCAGCTCCTTGCCACTAGGCCACCAGAGCTCCCCAGCACTTTCCAATTTTTAAAGCATATATATCATTGTGTTTAAGGAGAGGCAATATGTGTGCTGCTAAGCATATGCAGTCAGATTATTTGTGCTTCAGTGCCACCACTACCTAATTAATTATGTTGTTGTTGTTGTTGTTATGTGCCGTCGAGTCACTTGTGACTCATAGCGACCCTATGTACAACAGCCCTCAGACATGCTATTTAATGTCTTTGTGCCTCAGTTTCTTCATTTGTAAAACAGTATTTTCTAACGCTGTTAATATATGGAAAGTACTTTAAATATTACCCAGAATATAGTACAAGTTAGTTTTTCCATATTATCTCTGGTGGCCTAGTGGGTAAAGAGTTGTGCTGGCAACCCAAATGCAGGAAGTTTGAATTCACCAGTTGCTCCAAGTGAAGAAGATAGGCAATCTCCTCTCATGTGATTTACAGCCTCTGCAAATCCACTGGAGGGTCAACTTGGCATGGTTCCTGTTCTATGGTGATGAGAGAGTGAGTATTATCTCTAAGGAGCTGCAGTGGCATTGTTTATAGGGAGTTGAGCTGCTAACTCTAAGGCCACACCTCTCTGGTGCTTCAAATCTACCAGAGGCTCAGAGGGAGAAAGTCTATTTCTGTGTGATTTAGGATCTCAGAAACCCACTGGAGAGTTAGCTATGAGTTGGTTCTGATTTGATGGCAATGAGCATTATCTCTTATCATCATCATCATTTCTCTTATCATCATCATCTTTTATTTTCACAGTGGTCTCACAAAATTGTCAATAATGAAACCAAGGCTCACAGGGAGTCTGGGCTCCAGGATCTCATCCCCAGATTAGGTTACCTCCCACTCCCACTCACTCTTCAGCTTGGATGGAGTCCACAGGGGCCACGTAGTTGCTGGGAATGTAGCCAGTCTGTCCGGAAACAAGGGAACGAGCCTCCCACCAGTCACCTTCACTGCAGGCACAGAGCAATGACATGGTCGGTGTTGACTCCAACCCCTGAGTCCCCTGGGCCAAGCAGGTTGGAGATTGACCCTGCTGACCTCTCCCCGTAGACATATCCCTCCACCCAAGAGTTGTCTGTCCTTCACCCATAGCTATTGCAGCTGCTCAGGAAGATACTCCCCTCCAGAAGGGAAATATTTGGGGACATCTGGGCTTCCTGGCTTCCTCTCCTGGCTCCTCAGATGAGCTGGGGTCAGGGAGACAGAGCACAGTGAACTAGGTCACTTCCCACTGAAAAGCCTCCAGTGGCTTCCCATTTCCTTCTGTGGGAAATCCAGACACCTCAGCATGGCTTAAAAAGTCCTGCAACCCATCCTCACCCCTCTCTCTGGCCTCCACTCTCTTTCCCCATTCTGAACCTCACACTTCCAAACCTCACACTTCCGGTCTACCTATACTAAGCCTCTAAGGTTCCCGGAAGTTGTTGTTTGTTCTCATTCTATCTTTTCTTACCTTTCCCTTCAATGGCTATTTATCTGTTTCAAGATAAAAAGAGCCTGCCCTGACTACCCCCACCCTGAGGACTATGTTTGTTATCTGTGCTCACATTTCCTCATATGGTGACAAGCACCAGATTTTGTGGCTATATGGTGTGTCTGCCTTGCTGACTAGGCTAGGAACATTCTGAGAACTGGGATGAGGTGGGACTTTTTACCCCCTGGTCCTGCTCCCAGCCCAGGCAATGAATGCACCAAGCTGAGTTACTTACGTATTATTCAGGATGTGGAACTTCTCGCCCTTGGTGAAGGTGAGGTCCTCCTCTGTCCGGGCCTCATAGTCATACAGGGCGATGAACAGGGTCACCCCAGTCCCTGTCAGAGTAAGAGCTACTCAGAATAGGGCACAGGCCAGGGACACCTACAAATTCTTTTCCCCTGCCAGGTGCTGTGCTCCCATCCACTGTAGCAGTGCCTTTGGGGTTAAGTGGATTTCTGATTTGGGCTTCATCACCTGCCTGAGGCATCCCGCCCACCCTGGGGAATCCTCAGGTTATCTACTCCTCCTCTTCCTCAGCAAGAAGACTTCACCTAGGACATAGCACCCACAAAGGTTTCTAAGAGGTTCTCCTCACCATTTGTGTCTATTATCTGTGGTCCCTCTCTTGAACTGAGATCTCTGGACAAAGAGCTAATGCCCTCCTCAGACTGAGGTTTCCAGGGACAAGGTTGGCTATAAATATTCCCTCACACTGTGTACTCCTAGAGGCAAGACTGTGTCTCCCACATCAGCCTGGAGGCTCGTAAGGATGAGGCCTCAGGTTGCCCTCCCCTAGTGTCTCCCAGGGTCCAGGCAGACTGCCTCCAGCATCCCACCATACACCCTTGGCCCAGCTACCAGACTCACCTGAGATGCCCCTGATGGTACCAACATCCAGGAAGGCGGGGCTGGTAGGTGGAGGTGAGAAGTTGTAGTTGGGGACATGGGCAGAGGAGGATGCAGACCGGGCCTGAGTGGGGTCTGGGCCATAGCGGTCCGAGGCCCCATAGCCTGTGAAGTCTCCTAGATCAGCATCCTCCTTGGCCCCCAGCTCCACCTTCTTGCAGAACACACAGCCCATTCCAGGCACCCTGCTATGGAATGGAGGCATGCCTCACTCAGGGGTCTGCCAGGTGGATTGCCTTATGCATGTGTGCACATACACATTCAGGGGCTGCTCCCATGGGGTCCACTCTCAGCTGCCTGAGCACATGTGGACCCCTCAGCATGATATCCTTGGTGCGTCTCTTCCCCTCCATTGTAGTCTACAGCTTGGTAGGTGATTATCCACATGGGGATCTCTGACTACATCGATATGCTGTGTGCTACCTTGATACATGATTTCTTCTGTGCGCTTGCACATGTTTTCTGGTGTGTCTCTGTTGTTATTGTTGTTGTTATATTCCATTGAGTCTGAATTCTCTCATAGCGGACTTTCCAGTGGGTTTTCATGGGCAGTAAGTTGCATAGGAGCTGATCGCCCATTTTATTTCCTCTTGTGTGTCTCTGAGTATGTGTGCGTTTTCTCATGTGAGTGGCTCTGAGTGTGTATCTGTGTTGTTAGGTGAATCCCCTGCATTTGTGTGTATGTGGGGGTGTGTATGTGTATGTGAATACATCTCTGTGTGTGTTGGTGCACGTGCACATCTGTATGAGTGAGTAGGCACGAGCCTCTGAGTGTGTGTGCATCTCTGAGCACGTCGATCTGTGTGAGAATGACTGAGTGTATAGCTCTGTGTGGGAGGGTTTGCGTCTGTCCATATGTCTGTGTGCTCCAGTCTGGCTGAGTCCATGTACGTGTCTCTGTGCCTCCATGTCTGTGTCTCTCTCTGTGTCTGCATGTCTCTGAGCGTTTGTGTGTGAGTGTGTGTGAGCACTGTGTGTCTGCACCTGGAGATTCCCTGCAGAGAGGGATCAAGGCCATTTCCCGTTGTGGGTCCAGCCTCTGGCCTCTCAAGCTGCCTCATTCTGCCTCCCCCCATTTGTTACCTAGCAACAAGCCTCTGTAGGAGAAGGGGGCTGTGAGGAGCCATGGGGACCAGGAAGGCCCACCCCCACCCAATTTCCTGACCCTGAAAGCCCTCTGTTCCTACTCTTTCCACTCACCCCTTCAGGCCCCAGCTCCTGGTTCAGCGAGACTGTGGCATGGTCTTTGGGAGGGGCCGGAGACCAGACCTGAGTGTAAGACAGAAGGAGATGGAAGTTGAAGGCCTTGCCAGTGTTCTGCAAGCCAGCTGCCTAGCTCTGGCTGCCTCAGGAAGCCAGAGGGCTTGGGCTCAGTCCCAGCATGATTCTTGCCTTCATTTTCCTTCTCACCAGCCCTGGAACACGTCACATTCCCCCTTACATAGGACACACCACACACACCAGCCCTCTACATTCATACCCACCTGACACATCAGCAGAGTCACACACAAACATACACCCAGCACACACACATACACACACCAGCATACAGTCACCCACTAACACACATGCAATCTCACACTTGCACACACACGCATACACACACCTGGCACAGTCATACACCAACACTCTTTCACACATACACAAACCCTGGCACCATCACACACAAACACTCATAGTCACACACACATGAACACACCAGCATAGTAACACACCAACACTCACACACTTATATGAGGATGCTCACTAATACAACCACATACCACACAAACTCTCGCACCAGCCCAGACTTGGATGCAGAGTAGCACACAAGGTGCCTCCTGGGCACTCTCAGATGCTCGTATTTTATATTTACCCATCACTTTAATTGGATTTCTTGAAAGCCAGGCTCAGCTCACTCAGAGGCCCCCAGTCACTGCCTCCTAAAACAAAGCCCTTGCTGACCTGCCTCCGCTCCAGTACAGGCTGAGTAAACTCCAGCAGCCCAGGGTCACTACTAGCTGGTGGCAGGGTAAGGGTGCACACCCACCTCCAGAGCTCTAGCTAAGTCCGCATGTCAGGGAAAAGCCAGGTCAGCAGGGGTCCCAGGGGAACCTCCCAAATGAGCCAAGTTTTTCCTGCAGCTGTTTTCTTTGAGCTGCAGTGTGGACAGGTCATTGAGCAAGTGTTCCCCACCCGCTGTCAAGAAACTACCATTGCGACATTCAGAGGGGAACTGGCTGGGGAGAGGGCTTGGTTTCCTAAACCTGAGAGGAATGTAGAGCTGTAGGGTGGGGTAGATCCAGTAGACCTCGATTTTCACCAGAGGCACCTGGGGAAAAAGACCTTTGCCTTGCGCTTTGGTTTCCCTTGAGGAATCTTCTTCCCTCTGGTTCTATCTCTCTATCTAGTATCACTCACCTCTTCTAAGAAGCCTTCCTAGATTCACCTGCTCCAGTTGCCTGGCCAGTGGATCTGTCACATCAGGGTCTGGCCTCCACCCTAGCCTCACCAACCCTCTTAGCCTTCAATGTAATTATTCTTCCGTGTGTGTCGAGTGGTGATGTTGGTGGTGGAAATATCACCCGTGTGGTGAACTGTGAGGCGGGCTGTGGGGAGCAGCATGCCCTAAAATAGCCCCTGTTTACCAGCCCATTACTGAGATCTTCACCCCAGGATCCCTCCCCCCAGGTTAAACCTCTATGTCTGCAAGGCCCCACAATGCTGGCGGTTAGGGCCAAGGAAGAGGATGATGATGATAGGGAAGGGGATGCCTGGAGTCCAGCTGAAAGGGCTACTGGGGCTGGTGAGAGGAGAGATGGGAGAGGAACACAAGGGCTGCATGGTGAGAATAAAGGCTTCGAAAGGGCTACAGCACCTACATCCAGATCCACACAAGCCTTTCTACCCATTTACATACTCCAGCCACACACAGCACCTCATACACAGGTTCACAGGTATGTGTAAGTATATTCATCTTTATATATAAGGGCACATATACACACAACCTCTCCACAGTAACAGAATTATTTTTACTATGTGCCAGGCATTTTACATCTAATGCCCATTTTAGTTTCACAACAATTCTATAATGAAGGGATTACTATCGATAATGAGGAAGATGAGACACAGAGACGTTTAGACACTTGCCCAAGGACACAGCAATGACATATTTGGATTCAGTATCTAAGCTCTCCACCACCTGTCATTGACATGGAAGTCACAGCTCTTCCTGTAAGCATGCACAGAGGCCCCGAGCATACAGGCACAGGGATGTATACAGCCTCGCTCTTACCCCTACACAGAGCTCCCCTCTATAAGATACAAACCTCTACACTTAGATATAATATTGCCACTTCCAACAATATTCAACTCAGTTGCAGCCACGAGGATCCGCATGGTATGGTGTCACACCCAGAGACATGATATCCCCTTCTTACAATGGAATGCAATGGAAACAAGTTTGTCATGCAGCAGATGAAAGCAGTTGTAACACATGCTGAAGAAACCATGTGATTTGAAAGTCATCGTCATTAGGCAATAATAATAGCTCTGGCCAGAGTGCACCAATGTTAGATGCCATTGAGTTCACTACAACTCAGAGACCCTGGGAGCAACAGATCAGAATCCTGCCCTGTCCTGCACCATTCTCAATATTTTGTGGTCAGAGAAAGTATTTTCCATGATTTCAATCTTTTAAAATTTATCAGAACTTGCTTTGTGGCCTAAGATGTAGTATATCATAGAAAATGATCCATGCATACTAAAGTAGAATGGATATTGTTTTGTACTGCTTTGGTGACTTGCTGTTAAATGTTGTGATGTTGACTACTACCCATAATGATCCTATGAACAAAGGACCTGAACCTTGCTCTACCATGTACCATCCTCACAATCTTTGCCATGTTATCAAGTTCATTGCAGCAGTCACTGTTTGAAATCATCTTAGGGAAGATCTTCCCCTCTTTCTCTGACCCTCTCCCTTTCCCAGTAGGATGTTTTCCCCAAGTACTGGCCCCTACTGATAATATGCCCAGAATATGTGAGATAGAGTTTCACTATCCTTGGCTTTATGGTGCATTCTAATTTGTACTTCCTCCAGGACAGAGTTACTTGTTCTTTTTGGCAATCCCTGGTATATTCGGCACTCTTTGCCAACACCACAATTCAAAGGTATCAATTTCAGTCTTCCTTCTTCATCGTCCATCTTTCAGATACATAAGAAACAACTGAAAAAAAAAGAAAAGAAAAAAAAAGAAAAAGAAAAAAAAAAGAAACAACTGAAAATACCATGGCTTGGATCAGACTCACCTTAGTCTTGAAACTGATAGCCTTGCTCTTTAGCTCTTTAAAGAGGTTCTTGACAGTAGATTTATCCGGTGCAATATCTCTTTTGATTTCTTCAAAAGCACTTTCAGTATCAAACACACTTTCAAAAGAGTGTATTGAAGGTTCAAAAAGTAAATTCTCACAGAGTTTAGCCTAGTATGTATATTGATACATATAACCTGGGTTGAAAAAATGGGATTTTTTGTTGTTGTAACTAATTGTATAGAACTCATCTCATTGCCATAGATTCAGAATGACTCATAACTGACCTTCCAGAGGTTTTCAGAGGCTGTGTGAGGAGACTGTCCATCTTTCTCCTATGGAACAGCTGGACACTTGAACCACTATAGGACAATACCTTACCCACTAGGCCACCAGAGCTCCCTAACAATACATAGGAATAAATTTTTACCAAAAGAAACACTGCACAAAAACGTCACAGATTTTGGTGTCATCCCCTTTAACAACGTCACCTGGTGTGGTCCACACCCCTCTAGGGACATCAGTGATGGAAAAGCACATTGTCGCAACACTTCTACACCAGACCAGGGGTAGCCCCAAATTCTTCATGCCTGGAACGAGGAGGGGAAGTCATAGGCTGATGAATTCTGAAAAAGAGCCAAGAGCTCCATGAGCAGAGGATGGCCTCTGGCGGGGCCCACAGCAGAGCCAATCTGGGCAGTGGGCAAGTGTGAGAGGCCCTCAAGGTAAAAGTGCTCCCAGGCTTGAGGGAGGTGAAGCCTTGACTCTCTGGGTGCCAGCAATGCCTCTGTGGGGTTGGGGCATGGGGAGTGAGAGTCTGAGTAACAGGGATCTGCATCTGCAGGGTCCAGGACAATGACAGGGGTCACATTGAGTGTGTCATGATCAAGTAGTTCTTCTGTGTGAGAAAAATGGAGACAAAGAGGTAAAAATTGAGAGGAAAAGAAAAAGTTTGAAAGAGCCAGAGATAGAGGACAGAGATAGGTGAAGACGGAGACAAAAGAGACAAAGAACCCCCACCTCCACCCCCCAAAAAAAACCAAGAGAGTGGTAAGCTGGTAAACCTGCTCTAAAAAAAAAAGAGTAAACCATAAAAGCTTGATTTGTAACACTGGCTGATTTCCGTGGTGTAAATATTCCCTCCATGGCCAATTTCAAGCTACCGAAGTGACCTCACTAAACACTGAGCTGTTTAAGAAGAAATGCACAGAATCAGCTCCCCAGGGCCAGTGCTAGCAGGCTGCAGCAGACCACTGCCAGGAAGAAACACAGAGAGACCCACAGAGAGATGAAGGTGAGAGGGAGAGAGAGAGAGAGAGGCAGAGGTGAAGAGCAAAACAGGCAGAGGGAGAGCCTAGAGAACAAAGAGCGAGAAGAGGTAGGCTGAGTTCTCTGCTCACACAGCTGTTTAAAAACAACCCGAGGACTCTCCCCCTTTCCCTTATTTTAATCACAATCACTTACTACCATTTTAGGTGGTGATAATTATTAGCAAAAGCATGCTAATATACCAAACACCTATTCAGTGCCTGGCATGGTGCCTAGTAAATCCCATGCATTATTTTATTGACAATCCTACAAGGTGAAGGAGCTCTGGCGGCTTAGCGGTAAGACATTTGTGCTGTCAACTCAAAGACACATTCTTTGAATCTGTCTCCTGCTCCACAGGAGAAATATGGGAAATGACCTCTATGTGATTTACAGCCTCTGCAACCCCAGTAGAGAGGGTTGGTCAGTTATGAATCAATTCTGACTTGTTGGCATCTAAGAAGAAGATGAGTTTTATAATTGTCCCTGTTTTACAGATGAATAAACTGAGACACTGACATGTACATGTACACTTGTCCAGATTATACAGCAAGGAAGAGGAGTTAAAGTATAACCCTAATCAATATGTATTGTTTGGGGTTAGACACAGTTCTGTTTGTGATCCTGGTCAAAGCTGGGAAGTAGGTTCCTTAAGGATGGCCTGTT